AAAATAACAAATAATTTTTAACTCTAAAAACCTTGCAAATATTTAACAACAATGGCCGTGTGCTCGTTTCTGATGCCCACTGTACTTTTTGCCACCCCGGCTATGACAATAGCCATTTCGGCGAGTTTTGCACAGCGTTAGAATAGGAATGTGTTCGATTTAAAATGCAAAAATATTAACTTAATACAGTATAGTCAATTTTCTTAAAATTATTTTAGCATAGAATTTCCATTTGACTTACCACATCGATTATTTGCATTAAAGTTAAACCAAAACTTAATTGTAATGGATCCGACTCGTTTAAAACCGGACGTTCTAGGGTATTATAAGGATCTAAAAGATCGTGTAGCAGTCTCTTTTCATGATATCCTGCCAGACCAACTGCAAAGAAAAAAGGCAAAAATTAAATAATATAATCATACATCATAATATAGAATATACTTATAAATATTTTTATGAAAAATGTATTATAGAGCATCACGTTGACTCAAGTCAATACAAGTCAAGTCACGTCACTGACTCGGAGCGTTTATAAGGCACATTCTCTGCCCTTTGAAGCTTTGTCAGGTGCGGTCGTTGCCCTGAAAACCATATGGTTGCTTAAAATGAATATTTTATCCAATAAGGGTGGTAGACAAGGGAAAGAAGTCAAAAACATGCCCTTTTGCAGGGTTGAGTGTAACATCAAACATATTTTGCACCGTGGAAGGCCGACGTGGGAGAAACGAAATCATCATTAAATTGATAAAACCAACCCATTTCGAAAAAATACTACTGTGGGAGCCACGACTAAAAGAGGTAACACAGCCAAAATACTTGAAATACTTGAGGCATAATTTTGGCTAGAAAGCTGACCTCGCAGCGTCTGAATAAAGAATCTAGCGGGATAAAACTGTTCGAACAGGTTCGCGTTGATGGATGTACACCACTTCGTAAATCTTCCATCAAGTTTCAAAAATCCAATATGGCTGATCCAATATGGCGGACAAATTTTTCAAAATTGATTGACTTTGCTCGAAACTGGTTAGTCTGGTATTTTACATTAAAGCCAACAATTTCAAGTCGGAGCTCAACGAAACTATTTAGTTTTTTAACCAACTTCACAAAAAGGTGAAAGGTTATCAATTTGTCGGAAGATTTTTTTTATGACTTTGGACCACGTCAACCGATTTCTATAATTCTTTTTTTCTAAGGAAAGGTGTTTCCACACTAGGTGGACACAGGTTACTAAATTTAAGAATTTATGAAATAATTTTTCT